TGTTGAGTAATGAGTGTTTTATTAAGAATTTGAATAGCAGATGAATGTGCTTGACATTGAATTATTAAACCATGATAAGATCTATTTGGTATTAATGTTATATTTGATATAGAATTTCTTAACGATTGACCTGATAGAAGTGCATAATCTCTTTTTGATAAATAATTTATTGATTTTGGAATATTCCAAGAAAGTTTAGCTTCAGGCATACCATTATAAGATCGACATACAATATATGATAAGACATTTTCTATTAATATAACTGGACTATCTATTGATAAAATTGTTGGAATTTCTAAATTAATTTTTTTATTTTTTTTTTTCTTAAAAACATTTTTTTTTTGTTTTTGTTTTCTAAACATACGTAAAACAGTTAATTTAGCTTTTCGTGAGATTGAAGCAGCTCTTCGAGGTCCAGCTAATATTTGACATTGATACATTCCGATATCTTCTAATGATACATTAACTATTTTAAAATGATGTTCACCTATTGTTTAATTAAATAATATTTTTTTTTAAATATATGATAAACAAAAAAAAAAACAAAAGAAAAACCTTGATGAGCATGTCCAATAATTTGATAACGAGGATAAAATGTTAAATCTCGTGTTTTTCCTAATGTGCAAAAATCATTTTTACACCAAATAACTTGACTTTCATGAATAGGTTCTGTTCGACAACGAAGAATTAATGTTGATCCAATTATTGTTTCAACATCTTCTGGTTCTTCAATAAATTTATTATTGATCTTTATACCTTCGATCAATTGAACCAATATTATTAAGATTAATAACATTGAATGTCGTCATCAATCTAAAAAATAAAAAAAAATAAAATAAAGACGCGACATATCCCATGACGATGTCAATTAGTAGAAACCATGTAGATAACATTAACGACTAAATAGTCATGTTGTGTCGTGTTCTATCGTGTTCTCTGGTGTCTATCGAATGATCAATATGTTAATTGTCTTATTCGACAAAGACAATATTAATCTATTGAGAGAATAATTAACAACTGGCATCTGTCAATTATATTATCAAATTAGATTAATTTAACTAAACGAAACAAAACTCTAGATGATTTATTGGTTAACATTATCATTATTATTATTAATGAAAATAATAATTTAACTTTTATCATCATATATAAGTTAGAAAAAAAAAATCGTTTCGTCAAATCTAATGGAATCAATGAATAAGTAGTATATTATTTTACTTTGTTATTCTTGTTAAGTATAACATATGACCCCCGTCGGGTTAACCGACAAGAATCAATCGCTTTTTTCTTTTCTCGATTAAGAAAAAAGAAAAAAAGAAAAAAAAAAAAACTCCAATAAGAATAGTTTGTTAAATTTTCAATAGGTATATATGTATATGTGTGTTCATTTTACCGTATCGAACCATATATATATATATCTATATATATACTCATCACTTATCGACAATGACAATAAGAATCTTTTTCTTTTTTTCTTTTTTTCTTTTTTTCTTTTTTTAACATATATAATGTAAGCATAA